TTGGTGAGGGGCTCTTGATTTAGGGAATTGGATCTGTGCTCCAGTTCCCCGAATTAAGCCTGAATGCCTTCCACATCCCCACCCCAGGTGCTGTATAATCCTACGAGTTTAGCGCTTCCCCTTGATTATAATAATAATAATATGGTCAAAACTAAAGGTCAAACATCGCTGGTATTTCTCTCAAGGTTCTATGTAAGAAAATCCTGACGTGTATGCATTGAGTTGTAAATCTTCCAGTGTATACACGGGAAGGTGTATACCTGTGTGTATATAGTACAGTAAAACGAGAGTTTTCCGTGTATTATTATGGGGGATTGCTAAACCCGAAGGGATTATGCAGTGTTTTTGGGTGGAAGGCATCTAGGTTTAATTCAGGGGAGTGGAGCACAAATCCAATTCCCCGGATCAAGAGCTCTTCACCAGCATCAGTGAGGGGATTCTGTGTGTTAGGTATTGAGTCGGTAGGTTTCAAACCTTTCAACCCATCAGCCTCTTTAAAAAAAAAAAATTCCGTATTGTAATTTTTTTTAATTTATACTGCAAAGGAGAAACATTTTTTATGTCGGAATTTAATCAATTTTGGCTTTATTGTTTGTCAAAACATTTTTATTGTATATCATTATTTTATTTTTTTCTTACGGAATCGCTAAGCCGGTAAGAGTCGTACAGCGCATCTGGGTTAAGGAAAGTAACCTAACCTAACCCAAGAGTTCTAAACCAGCATTAAATTATATATATATATATATTAATATATATATATATAATATATATATATATATATATATATATATATATTATATATATATATATATAATAATAATATATATATACATACCCACAAAATACAATACAATCGCATACAGTCGATCTTAATGCAGAGCAAGCCACACAGGGATGGAAATCTTTAGCTCTGCTGGATCTTTCACACATGCGTCTTCAGGAGCTACGCAATATTGCAAGACAGCAACAGATAGGAGGGGGAGTCCTCTGAGGCAAATCAGAAGGTATAAATGGCGGCCCATGTGCCACGGGCCATCATTATATATACTATATTATATATTATACAATAATTTCCACAAAAATACATTTCGCTCAATCTGGGTCGTAAGGGGGAGAAACGTCATCAGTTTTCTGTACAAAATATCGATATTATGCGTTAGATGAGTACTGTTCCAATCATGGTATTGTGACAGTTATTATTACGTAACATTTAACACTGGTGGCATGTATTGACCTATTAGTGAAACTACACCCTGTGTTGCTTCTGTGTTAATGAATTGTTATTGCGCTTTTAATAATGAATTTTGTAGTGATTTAAGTGATTGTTATAGCAGTGCTGCATTCTAAGAATGTGTTCTAACAAGATAACCTTATAAAACGTTGTAGTTTGGTGTGTGATTTGCTTTTTTAGGTAGCTTTTGCTGTGTATAAGACGCATGTGCTAACCAGCGACTTCATCAGTCCAACACGCCGAGAAAAGTTAGATGTGATGATGAGTTTAAGATAATCCGTTCCCATGAGCCAAGAGATGATTTTTTTTTATCTCATCTGAATCTCTCTCTAGGCTAAGAGACTGATTTCCTTGATCTCCCTTCACATCTTCCATTGTAATTCTCTGTGGACTGAGAAAGTCACTGGTGGGCAAAACGTATCCACAATAAAGCTACCTACGTGTTGCACATGTCTTTTCTACTTGTCGGTTTAACTATTAATAATATAGTTTTTTCAATGTTGGCTTATGCAACTTTTCGTTTTACCAAAAAGGTCGAGTGCAAATTTACTGTTGCTATAGTTACGCGGAAATTAGCCTGAACATATTTAAATTATGTATCATTGATGTTAAATAATAGCCCTTTAATATTTGCTGACCTAAGATAGGTTAGAATAGATTGAACTATATTATACACTAATTTTATCATTATTAAGTTAGCTAAGCTAGCTTTGGTGCAGAAATTAAAATATCTTCTTTTAACTATATTCACAAAAAAATATCAGTGAATAAGATATATTTTAAGGATTTGTTGGTCCAAATCTGAGTGAAGACCACAAGACCATTTATACAGCATTACTCTAATAGGTAGTATAATTATAACGTTGAATAATTATAATTAAGATGGTACGTTACATCTTCACTGAAATCATAAGTGATGAGTTTAAAATATACATTTTTTTTTTTTTTTCAATTAAGTGGTCCCCTCAAGGAAGGTTCCTTGATGTTGGTGAGGGGCTCTTGATTTAGGGAATTGGATCTGTGCTCCAGTTCCCCGAATTAAGCCTGAATGCCTTCCACATCCCCCCCCCCCAGGCGCTGTATAATCCTCCGGGTTTAGCGCTTCCCCCTTGATTATAATAATAATAATAATAATTCAATTAAGTGGTAAAGTGATTCTTTTTTTTTATTAAGTTAATTAAAATTTCTAATGGCTCCCCCATAACTTTTACCACCACACAGTTGTCTTACTGGAGAAAGCCATGTCTCGCAGAGGTAACTTTTGCCAAGGTAAGGATTAGGATTGAATCCCTTTGCATCGCTCTGCTGGTGGCCAGTAGGGTATCCTGACTCCTTTCTTCTGTACCGAACCCTTTGCACCGCTTTGCTGGTGGCATCTAGGCTACCTTGGCTAAGCCTACTGGTGTCGGACTTCTTTGCACCGCTCTCCTGGTAGTCTGTAGGGAATCTTGGTATCGAACCCCTTGCACCGTTCTCCTGACAGCCACTAGGCCGTCCTGGCTTCTTTCTTTAGTGTCAAATTCTCAAAGTATCGTGATTAATGTCAAATTATGCCGGCTGGATTACTCTTGAATACTCGTCATTTGAGATTAATTGTTATTCCTAAAATGTCGAGTATTTATTCTCAAATTTCGGTCACTTTACATTGATCCTATGATTTCTAGTGACTAGTACAGCACTGGAGTCAAACTGGAGCTGTTTTGCTCTATTTCATCACCAGGAATGATTTTTTATAGAAAAAAGTAACCACGACCCTTTGAGAAAACGACCACGCACCCATAACAGTAGACACAACAGGAGTTCTGAACATTGTATGTTTGTACTATGCTATCCTTCAGTAGTCCTTGTGTAAGGAAAGCTTGTGCACAAGCTTTCACTGGGACAGTTTCGCTCTGTGCTGAGCTTTATCGTATCAAGCTCTATACACAGCCAGACGTTGTCCCCAATAAAACCTTATTCTAGAGCGGTTTTTTCTGCGTTATTTTGCATCCGGTTCTGGTAATTCTTAGCAACCCTGCGCTAATATACGTCTAAGGTCTTGAGGACTGTGTCCTTGTCCTAATCTTTCCTTCAGCTGTCTTGAAGCCTGTGTGATTGTCCTACGCTTTCCTACAACTATCTTCAGGACTGTGTGCTTGTCTTATGCTATCCTACAGCTTTTTTGAGGACTGTCTTTGTCCTCAAGTCTTTGTCGTCTAGTTTCTTGATAATGTGCTTTGTCTGTTATTATAATAAAAAAATTAATGGCTAAACTTGTCCTGGTTTATATATCTTCAATTCTGACCATTGTGTGCTTGTCCTGCGCCATAATTGCCACTGCTTGCTTGCTTTTAGTGTAAACTCGCACATTAGTGTAAGAACCAGTAGTTTTGGGTCCAAGGTCGTCGTACTTTAAGTTCTATAGTTTTGACAGAAACTAGCTATATATAAATAGCTGTATTGAATATATTCTTTATTGATATATTGAATAATTTCTTGCTTGTGCTTATTGTTTTTCCGATATTTTACCTTCTCTTTAATTCTCGCTTTTATGAGTTGGTGTTTGTTTCTTACTCTACGGCAGGAATGGCTGATATATTTGAAAATAAGCCACGTATTAAAGAATTTGCTTCATACACGGGAAGAATTTGCTTCGTATACGGGAAGAATTTTCTTCGTATACGGGAAGAATTTGCTTCATACACGGGAAGAATTTTCTTCGTATACGGGAAGAATTTGCTTCATACACGGGAAGAATTTGCTTCGTATACGGGAAGAATTTGCTTCATACACGGGAAGAATTTTCTTCGTATACGGGAAGAATTTGCTTCATACACGGGAAGAATTTGCTTCATACACGGGAAGAATTTGCTTCATACACGGGAAGAATTTGCTTCATACACGGGAAGAATTTGCTTCATACACGGGAAGAATTTGCTTCATACACGGGAAGAATTTGCTTCATACACGGGAAGAATTTGCATCGTATACGGGAAGAATTAATGTTCGTCATCATATTAGAAATTTTCGACAAATTTTTCGAAATTTAAGTCTTTCCAGACACTGCAGAAAATAATCATCAATTTGTGATCTAACATTAACCATACTATGAATTTATCATGGAGATTATCATACTAACGGGGAAGCGCTAAACACGTCCGGGTCATACAGCGCCGGAGAGGAAGAGTAGCTTCAGTTTATTTGATTTAAATGGGATGTTGTTGACAGTAAATTGATGATTCCTTGTGGAGCACGCACGTTTAGTGCGACAACGTTTCGCTCTATGTAGAGTTTAAGAACATAAGAAAAGAGGAACACTGCAGCAGGCCTGTTGGCCCATTCTAGGCAGGTCCTTCACAATCCATCCCACTAGTTTAGATGAATATTTACAAATAGTGAAAAAGAGAAGAAGAAAAAGAGAAATTCTCTTCAGCTTCTTTACACAGCTGAAGTTGAAAGAAATGAAGCTTTTTCACAAAGAAGTGAAGCTTTTTCACAGAGCTGAAGTTGAAAGAAGTGAAGCTTAATTTTACCGACATAGCTTAGCTAACAGCGGTTAAGTCCCTGAAAATCTCGGGCCACCTTGCTGACGCCAGACCCAGTAGCTCGTGCCACGAACATCAAAGATGTCAGCCAACAACGCTGTGGGGGTGTAACGAAGGAGGTAACAAGTTTCCTGCCTGACTTCGCCACCTAACTCGAGGAAATCTTGCTCTTCTAGAGTCGACTTTTGGAGGAGAGTTAATGGTTTTGTCCAATTGAAATAAGTAGAACCCAAATGGAAATAAGTCACTCTGTCTTTTTTGGGTTATCCCAGGTTCTCTACACATATGCTGTTATGTATGATAATCTATGTAATTGTATTTGTGTATATCTGAATAAACTTGCTTGCAAGTCAACATGTGGGAGAGACGAATGGGGTTACATGATCCTTTACTGACGACGCCTCGACCACACACTGGACTTTATTAAGTGACAAACACGTTTTCGGGAAATCGCAATAACACGACTGCAGATAAACCAGGGAACGGGTGAGGTTTGAACCCATGGCGAGTGAGTCGTAGAAATCCAAGCCAGTGGGTGAACTACCGGGTCAGCTGGCTAAAATAAGATACATCCAACTAGGATGAATCTTACTGTAACCATCTTCTTGATCCTGCTCTAGACATATCAAGGCCGAGGGATTAATCACTTTACATTACTTCTCCTTCCACAGTCTACAGTGTTTATTCTCTGTATTGGATTGAAAAAACCCATTGAGTTGCACAGTGTCTCAATCACTAAAGATTCCCAAGTGCTACGTATGTCTTATTCATCTTATTGGCAGTATTATATACCATTAATTTCATATAATTCTAATTAGATAAATCCCACTGGATGTGTAAGTGTATGTAGGTCAGGAAGGGCTGCATTTGAGAACGTCATGTATGTAGGTCAGGAAGGGCTGCATTTGAGAACGTCATGTATGTAGGTCAGGAAGGGCTGCATTTGAGAACGCCATGTATGTAGGTCAGGAAAGGCTGCATTTGAGAACGCCATGTATGTAGGTCAGGAAGGGCTGCATTTGAGAACGCCATGTATGTAGGTCAGGCAGGGCTGCATTTGAGAACGCCATGTATGTAGGTCAGGAAGGGCTGCATTTGAGAACGCCATGTATGTAGGTCAGGAAGGGCTGCATTTGAGAACGCCATGTATGTAGGTCAGGAAGGGCCTGCATTTGAGAACGCCATGTATGTAGGTCAGGAAGGGCTGCATTTGAGAACGCCATGTATGAAGGTCAGGAAGGGCTGCATTTGAGAACGCCATGTATGTAGGTCAGGAAGGGCTGCATTTGAGAACGCCATGTATGAAGGTCAGGAAGGGCTGCATTTGAGAACGCCATGTATGTAGGTCAGGAAGGGCTGCATTGAGAACGCCATGTATGTAGGTCAGGAAGGGCTGCATTTGAGAACGCCATGTATGTAGGTCAGGAAGGGCTGCATTTGAGAACGCCATGTATGAAGGTCAGGAAGGGCTGCATTGAGAACGCCATGTATGTAGGTCAGGAAGGGCTGCATTTGAGAACGCCATGTATGTAGTCAGGAAGGGCTGCATTTGAGAACGCCATGTATGTAGGTCAGGAGGGCTGCATTTGAGAACGCCATGTATGTAGGTCAGGAAGGGCTGCATTTGAGAACGCCATGTATGTAGGTCAGGAAGGGCTGCATTTGAGAACGCCATGTATGTAGGTCAGGAAGGGCTGCATTTGAGAACGCCATGTATGTAGGTCAGGAAGGGCTGCATTTGAGAACGCCATGTATGTAGGTCAGGAAGGGCTGCATTTGAGAACGCCATGTATGTAGGTCAGGAAGGGCTGCATTTGAGAACGCCATGTATGTAGGTCAGGAAGGCTGCATTTGAGAACGCCATGTATGTAGGTCAGGAAGGGCTGCATTTGAGAACGCCATGTATGTAGGTCAGGAAGGGCTGCATTTGAGAACGCCATGTATGCAGGTCAGGAAGGGCTGCATTTGAGAACGCCATGTATGTAGGTCAGGAAGGGCTGCATTTGAGAACGCCATGTATGTAGGTCAAGCAGGGCTGCATTTGAGAAGGCCCTGCCAAGTATGGACCAGTAGGCTTGTTGCAGTGTTACTCTGTTATGTTCTTAAGAGGGTGAGACCGACGTCAATAATGGATGCCAGGCAGAACAAGCCACATTAAGATATAAATCTAATTTTTTCGCACGGTCCAAGTATCAGACTGAGGAACCAGAGAGAATTTTGTACTTCCCAAGAATCATTGTTATAAGCATTATCATCATCATAACTAGGCGTTAATCCCATAAGGGTCATACAGTATAAGCATTATTACGTTAATTTTTTTTGGTTTATTTATGGCAGTCTAAACTAGTCTAAAACGCATTTATTGTCGATTAATTCGAGAGATGCAAATTGATGCTCGGTTATTGCGAGAATTTCTTGCATATTCTCAGTTTTTTAGAAATTTCCAACATTGTTCTCATCTACCTGGAGATTCCGGGAGTCAACGCCACCCGCGGCCCGGTCACTAACCAGGCCTCCCGGTAGATCAGGGCTTAATCAACCAGGCTGTTACTGCTGGCCGCACGTAGTCAGGTTTATTTCCTATCTCAATTCCATTACATAAATTTTATCGACTTTGTATTCCATTGTCCATTTGTCGCTCAATTTTCTCATTTTATTCAAATACCTTTACAAGCTCTCTTAAAAGTTATGTTGACTTTCTAATTTACATGAAATGTTCGAATTGCCTCAGAAATATTAGTCAGA